AGTTAGTCAGATTGAAACACCATAAGGATATGTATATGTCCTACTAAGTTCTGTATCATCAGATTCTAGAGTAAGTGCTCCCTTCCAAGTGTAGGAAAATTGTTGATACTCAGCAAATCAAATGGAAAGTTAAGTACACTGAATCCAGAACTAATTAGTCTATTCATTCCCACTACTGAGTGATTTTAGCTAAGTCACATAACTGCTCTGAGCTCTAATCAATTCATAAATAAGGGAAATGGATGACATGATTTTAAATTTCCTTTCAACCCTAAAAGGCCATAGTCTAAATTTTTAAAAACTATAGGAAAACAGTACTTTATGTGCCTTTATAAAGGTAAATAAAACTCATGAATAGAGAGAATTCCTAAAAGACAATGGGAACAAAACACACAACAAAAGAAAACAATGCTCCTTAGACAATCCTCCTCCCTATATCAATAATAGTCAAAGGTGATTCTCGGTATAGATATTCACTGAAAGACAATTGATTAAAATATTAATATATTACAGTATTACAGTAAAGGCAAACCTATAAATGCTTTAGTGAAATTTATAAGAGCAGAGAAATCTGAATTTTGTCCTTTAAAAAGTCATACCATGTTTCCCAAATATTTCAGTTAACAAAAGTATTACCAAGGAATAGACCTCTTCTTTAGTTATGATCTAATAGGATCCAACAGTATATGAAAAAGATTATCCACCATGACCAGGTGGGATTTATCCCTGGGTTGCAAGGGTGGTTCAACATTTGCAAATCAATCAATGTGATAAAACAAATCAATAAGAGAAGAGAGCAGAACTACATGGTCCTCTCAATTGATGTAGAGAAAGCATTTGACAAGATACAGTATCCGTTCCTAATTAAAACGATTCAAAGTATAGGGATAGAGGGAACATTCCTGAACTTCATAAAATCTATCTATGAAAAACCCACAGTGAATATCATTCTAAATGGGGAAAAGCTGACAGACTTCCCTTTGAGATCAGGAACACAACGAGGATGTCCATTCTCACTACTGTTGTTCAACACAGTACTAGAAGTCCTAGCACCAGCAATCAGACAACAAAAAGAAATAAAAGGTATTCAAATTGGCAAAGAAGTCAAACTCTCTCTTTGCAGATGACATGATACTTTATATAGAAAACCCAAAAGACTCCACCCCCAAACTCCCAGAACTCATACAGCAATTCAGTAATGTGGCAGGATACAAAATCAATACACAGAAATCAGTTGCTTTCTTTTTTTTTTTTTTTAAAGATTTTATTTATTTATTTGATAGAGAGATCACAAGCAGGCAGAGAGGCAGGCAGAGAGAGAGGAGGAAGCAGGCTCCCTGCTGAGCAGAGAGCCCGATGCGGGGCTCGATCCCAGGACTCCGAGATCATGACCTGAGCCAAAGGCAGCGGCTTAACCCACTGAGCCACCCAGGCACCCCATCAGTTGCTTTCTTATACACTAACAATGAAAATATAGAAAAGGAAATTAGAGAACTAATTCCATTTACTATAGCACCAAGAACTGTAAGATACCTGGGAATAAACCTAACCAAAGAGGTAAAGGATTTGTACTCAAGGAACTATAGAACATTCACAGAAGAAATTGAAGAAGACACAAAAAGATGCAAAAGCACTCCATGCTCATGGATCGGAAGAATAAACATTGTCATAATGGCTATAGTGCCTAGAGCAGTCTATACTTTCAATGCCATCCTGATCAAAATTCTACCAGCATTTTTCAAAGCGCTGGAACAAACAATGCTAAAATTTGTATGGAACCAGAAGAGACCCCCGAATTGCTAAGGAAATGTTGAAAAAGAAAAACAAAACTGGGGGCATCACGTTGCCTGATTTCAAGCTTTACTACAAAGCTGTGATCACCAAGACAGCATGGTACTGGCACTAAAACAGACACATAGACAAGTGGTACAGAGTAGAGAGCCCAGATATGGACCTGCAACTCTATGGTCAACGAATCTTCAACAAAGCAGGAAAAAATATACAGTGGAAAAAAGACAGTCTCTTCAGTACATGGTGCTGGGAGATTTGGATAGCTATGTATAGAAGAATGAAACTTGACCATTCTCTTCCACCATACACAAAGATAAAGTCGAAATGTATAAAAGACCTCAACGTGAGGCAGGAATCTATTAAAATCCTAGAGGAGAACATAGGCAGTAACCTCTTCAACATTGGCCACAGTAACTTCTTTCAAGACATGTCTCCAAAGGCAAAGGACACAAAAGTGCAAATGAACTTTTGGGACTTCCTTGAGATCAAAAGCTTCTGCACAGCAAAGGAAACAGTCAACAAAACAAAGAGGCAGGCCATGGAATGGGAAAAGATATTCGCAAATGACACTATAGACAAAGGAACAAACATTGATTATTGTTCTATAGAGATCTATAGAGAACTCCTTAAACTCAACAGCCACAAAACAGATAATCATGTCAAAAGATGGGCAGAAGACATGAACAGACACTTCTCCAAAGAAGACATACAAATGGCTAACAGACACATGAAAAAGTGGTCATCATCATTAGGCATCAGGGAGATTCAAATCAAAACCACATTGAGATAACTGTTACAGCAGTTAGAATGGCCAAAATCAACAAGACAGGAAACAACAAGTGTTGGAGAGGATGTGGAGAAAGGAGAACCCTCTTACACTGTTGGTGGGAATCTAAGTTGGTGCAGCCGCTTTGGGAAAATAGTGTGGAGATTCCTTAAGAAATTAAAAATAGAGCTTCCCTATGAGCCTGTAATTGCACTACTGGTATTTACCCCAAAGATACAGATATAGTGAACAGAAGGGCCATCTGTGCCCCAATGTTCATAGCAGCAATGGCCACAGTCGCTTAACTGTGGAAAGAGCCGAGATGCCCTTTAACAGATGAAAGGCTAAAGAAGATATGGTCCATATATACAATGGAATATTACACCTCCATCAGAAAGAATGAATACCCAACTTTTGTATCAACAAAAGAATGGAACAGGAGGAGATTATGCTGAGTGAAAGAAGGCAAGCAGAGAGAGTCAATTATCACATGGTTTCACTTACTTGTGGAACACAAGGAATAACACGGAGGACACTGGGTGGAGAGGAGATGTGCTTTGGGGGAAACTGGAGGGGAAGACGAACCCACGAGAGACTGTGGACTCTGAGAAACAAAGGGAGGGTATTGGAGGGGAGGGAGTTAGGGGTTGGGAGAGCCTGGTGCTGGGTATTAAGGAGGGCACATATTGCATGAAGCACTGGGTGTTTGCCTAAACAATGAATCTTGGAACACTGAAAAAGTAAAATTAAATTAAATTGCTTCAGACACATAGTTATGAAGCATGATGATCATGTCCCTTGAAAATTCCACATATATAACTTAGAGCAATTATAATTTCAAATCAAATCCTTAGAAAATTTAAGTACAGACTCTCCATAATTTTCTACAATATTTAGGGACACTCACTAATAATATATGTTCCTCTAAAAATCAGATTTCTAGATGACACTGTTTGGTGTTAGAAGCAACAATATATCTGTTTTTTTTTTTTTTTCCCTAGGGAAGTTGTTTAGCATCATGTGCCTGGTAGGAAATGTGAAGCTGAATCATCATTAATTCCAGAGTGAATTAATGCACAGAGGAAAAACTGTCGGTAGATAATGATTCAGGAGATAGTAATGAATAAGGGCCAAAAAATATAATTAATCATAGGAAGAAAACAATAAGGTATTAAAATTTAGGAAGAGTCCTATTAACAGAATCTGCAAAGAGTCAGTCTAACTATAAATTTAACTATTTTGGTTTATTTACTGGTACCTGTACTTAAGGAAAACAAGGAGTTGCAGCACTCAAAATCACTGATAATGTAGTAAATATACATTTTATGTATATGAATAATATCAATAATCATGTTTGAATTTTCGTGCAGTTATAAACAAACAACAGTAAGGCAATATTCACTAAAAGTCTGTGCGTGCTGGGTACTCACTAATTCCTTCACTTAGTTTTACTTCGTTTAATCTTCACTACAACTGCAAGAGACAGATACAATTATTACTCTTGTCTTACAGATGAGTTCATGTAATGTGCCTAAGGTCAGATGGGTGATAAGTGGCTGGACTCAGACTGAAGCTGATGTTCAGCTCTTAAGCACCACGGTTTTCAGTCTTAACTGGGTAACTGGGTCATTTGGTTTTAAAAATTTTGGCCTTACAGGTGAAAGGGAGTAAGAGATAAGGCCTCCTTTATGGAAAGAGTACATCATAAGAATAAAAGGACTGTATAAGGAATATTGGTCAGTGGTATTATAATAGTGTTGTGTGGTGACAGATGGTAGCTGCACACTTACGCTGTGCTTGTGCTGCACAATTATGCTCACTTGTGGTGAGCACAGCATAATGTATAGACTTGTCCAATCACTAGGTTGTACACTTGAAAATAATGTAACATTGTGTATCAACTATATTCACATACAGAAATTAAACCAAGAAGGAAATAAGATTTCAACTATTTCCAGGAAAAAAAAACACACAAAAAATAAAGAGTACAATCACTCTGTCCTCTGTATGTGCCTCTATTATTGAATGTAATACAGATATTTCAGTATTTGCTTTCCAGCTTGTCTCTATCTCCAGAATGGAAGCTTCCTGACTGTAGGGATCGTGTGTAATTACACATAAAAAAGGCTCAGCTAATATTTATTGAATTGAATATTAAATTGTACTCTTTTTAAAGAAAAAAATTTGGGCCTTTTAAAAATAAACTGTTTTTGAATGAAAAACATTTTTCAAATTTTTGTTTCTGTTCTACAGAAAATAAATTTATGGAAAAGAACAGGTATTCTAAGCCACTGGAAGTTTAATTACAACATGAACAATTAGGAACCAAACTTATCATGTTCCTTATTTAAGGTACTCTACCATATTTAGGAGTTATTCAGTTAACAAAGTATCAAATCAAAGAATTTCTACAAATATTTCTCACTTGACTTAATTTCCATACCTTCCAGATGTATTCTTCAGTATGGCAAGGGCATCTGGATAGCCATCCATGTTATAGTCTCCAATATGAAGGGTGATTGGAAGTGGTATTTCAGTGGGTCGTTGTTCATGCACAAATGGCACAAAACCCCAGAGTGTGCCCTTGTTGCTGAACTCCTGTAGGACTGGAACCCACTACGGAATAAGAGGAAAAAGATTAGATTTTACAGTTACTTTAGAAAAAAAAAATTCACCATTTGCAAAACAAACAATCTATTAAAAGTCTTCATAAGCATCATCTTACTTAAACTTCTTTATCTCTACAATCTAAGGATATTATAATTTACTTCGACGAGCAGATAAATGATACTCCAGAAAAAATAAAGTCCCATTTAAATTTCATCAGTAATCATTTTTCCTTGAACTGGTACAATAGAGCCTTTGAAAAATTTTCACAAAATCACAGAATCTTAGGTTTGAATTGATGTTGATTCCTATAGTTGAATCTCCCCATTTTAAAGCTGTGTTGAGTGGAAATGTAATTTCAAGAATATTTTTTAAAGATTTATTTACCTATTTTAGAGAGAGAGAGAGAATGAATAAGGGGGAAGGACAGAGGGAAAAGGGGAGAGAGAATTTCAATGAGACTCTGGCTGAGAATGAAGCCCAGCAGGGGGCTCGATCTCAAGATCCTGACGTCGTGACCTTAGTGGGAATGAAGAGTTGGACGCTGGACCGACTAAGCCACGTAGGCCCCAGCAAATGAGTATTTTTTTAAATGAGAGCAAACTGCAATATCATCTAGTACTGATGTCCTTTCAGAAGCATCAGCTTAGGAAGAAAGAAGATGACAAAATCTCCCTTGTTCCCCTGTTTTGCCTTTTATACATGATGATGACTTCAGTCAATATCTTCAGAGCCAAGAGTTCTGAGGTTCTCTGACAACACCAGCATTGAAGAAGCTCTGCCTGTCCAGGGGGATGAGTTTTGTCACCCAAACAGCTGGAATCTACTTTTAGTAAGTTCTTTATTTTTATATTGATTATAATGAAGAGAACAGAGAGAATAAAGTTGATTTCAAAAAGAGCTTTTAGGGCGCCTGGGTGGCTCAGTGGTTTAAGCCTCTGCCTTCAGCTCAGGTCATGGTCTCAAGGTCCTGGGATCGAGCCCCGCATCGGGCTCTCTGCTCGGCAGGGAGCCTGTTTCCCCCTCTCTCTCTGCCTCTCTGCCTACTTGTGACCTCTCTCTCTCTCTCTCTGTCAAATAAATAAATAATCTTAAAAAAAAAAGAGCTTTTGGAAATCCATTTCTCTTTTGAGTACTCTAATCTACTCAAGCTAATGCAAAGTCAAAACCTGAAGAGAGGAAATCATACCATTAAAATTATAAATATGCCTAAAATTAGTTAAAAGTATGGATACTGGCACACACCGTAGAGATGTTCAAACCAGCGCAGCTGGCTTGAAATGACAGCAGGCTAAACAGGTTTCTTTTAAGCAGGAGACTCTATATGGCTTCAAGTCAAATGATATCAAAAATGGTTTCTTGAAAAGGGATTAGGTTTTCCAAAGAAAGCATAACTTGCCAAGGAAAAAGAGAAAATAAAGCTAACAATAAATACATATTTATAGGAAATAAGCTGTTTAAAAAACCTCATTTACATCTTAGATTAATTTTTCAATCTTTCCTAAGAGCAAAAAAATATTATTTATCATCAAAATGTTTTAATGATTCATTTGACTTTGAAAAAAATAGTTGGTTTTGTTTTGGAAGAAGATGGGAAATTTCACAAAATGTTGTTATCACAAACTTCTGAAAAGGTTGACAGTTTATTAGTGAGGATAAAGTGTTCTTATTAAGGTAAATGTATTAAGGTCTAAAAAGTAAAAAGATTTTTTTATTAATATGACATCCTTAACAGTCACCAAAGAACTGTGACATTTATCTTCCTAGAGAGAGATGACTGTATAATTTGAAAATATTCTTACAGTAGTCTGTTGCTTGAAGCCAGGCTATAATTACTATGTTTACTTATACCTATGAAACATGATTAGGTGTTACTTGACCTCATGTTTTCAGTGATTAAAAATTTAAAAAAGCTTAAGATAATAAAATTTATAGGTACAGAAGCTAAATGTTTTTAGACTACTGATTGTATGAAGATTTTTCTTTAGTGTTTTTCTATAAAATGTGGTTTCCTGTAAGGGCAATAATTTCTTACCCTAAGATAGAAAAAAAACTGATTAATTCCAGTACTATAATAATACTGGTTTTCTCTGGTAGTACTAACGATAAGGAAAAATTCTCAGTGTTACAACCTATCACTGCCACAGTAATCTCCTATGACCATTGGATTCTAAACTGTTTATCCATAAGCTACAGGTAAAAAGTTAGCTTGAGAGAATGAAATGGATCTATTTAGCACAAATAAAGACAAGATTAGCCTTGACAACAGATGTGATGTTCTTCTCCATAACCTTTTGTTATAGTTACAGTGCATTTTACAATATTCCCAGCCTGTAAAATGCTAATGGGTCATTTAATTACAGGACCACGATTGGTCTTCTTCACCAGAAATGATTATAACAGTGCTTTCCCTCTCAATAAATAAACACAAAAATATTCAAATTCATTTCATTAAATTAAAATGAGGAAGTCAATAATTTATATAGGGTTTCACTGTGTTCTGATTATTCAGATACTTTTTCTAATCTCTGAAGATTTTCTTTAAGAAGGTAACTGTATTGACATTAAAAAAAACAAGCTGATATACCTGTTTTGTTCCAGATCTTGCTAAGTAAATGATGCTTTTCTGGCAGTTTTTATCTTCACAGCCTGGCAGTAAGTGATCCATGTGTCCATCTCCATCTGCCAAAAGAAAATTTCAAGAGTCCATTAACAGCTACAAAATAAAGTGTTCTTGTATGGCAGATTACATTTCCTATTTGTTCAAAGTCTGCATCAATCTGGATAAATGAAAGAAATTGATGTATGACTTTGTTATAAATGTGATTCAATTAAAACAATTACTCTGGCCCTTGCCATCTATTACCTGGATTGTGTCTTGTTTTAAATTGCTCACTTTTCTGTAGTTAAATATTTATCCAATGTTGGGGAAAAAAAAAAAACCCCATTTCAGGCTTTAATGTTAAAATCATCAATTTTTAAACAATGTGGCTTTTGACTTATTTACATAATTATCATTGCTGCTGCAGGAGAAAAACAAGCATGTCAATAGTAACTCGTTATTATATGGCTTATTTTAAATGTGTCTTTACATATAATTTATCTTCACACATTCTCTTAACATAGTATGAACTTCAAGGGTTCTAAAGCTCTCAGCACCCTGGCTTTTAAAGGCATCAATAAATTTTTACCAATAAAAAGGCAAACGAAGAGAATATAGATGTCATTTCCAGCTGACTAGATTTTGAAAAGCTGCACGATGGGGGTGCTTGGGTTGCTCAGTTGATCAAGTGTCTGATTTTGGTTCAGGTCATGATCTCAGGGTTTTGGATTCTTTTATTTTTGGTTAAAGATTTTATTTATTTATTTATTTGTCAGACAAAGAGAGAGAGGGAGAACACAAGCAGGCAGAGCAGCAGGCAGAGGCAGAGAGAGAAGCAGGCTCCCCGCCGAGCAAGGGGCCCCATGCAGGACTCAATCCCAGAACCCTGGGTTCATGACCTGAGCCAAAGGCAGCGGCCTAACCATCTGAGCCACCTAGGAGTCCCAGGGTCTTGGATTTTTGTCCTACTGAGCTCCCCACCCCCACTCCTGTTCTCTCTCCTTCTCTCAAATAAATAAATAAATAAAATCTTAAAAAAACAAAACAAAACAAAACTCAAAACTGCACAATGTTTTGCAAAGACCTTCAGAAAAGAGGTTACTAAAGAACCTGGAATCAATTCCTCTAATGGTCTCTCCTACCTACTGCCCCTTACCTGATAAGGTTTAAGATTTTGATGTCCTAGACCTAGAATTAAACTGCAACAGTGACATGCATAGTTGAATAATCATTTAGATTTTAAATTCTGTGTTGTTTCATTCACTCATTTGCTGTATGGTTTAACATATAATGTATGTCTGAGACAAGTGCCTTCAGTTTGAAGGAGACAGAAAAGATTAGCTATAGAGAAATACTCTTTCACGTGTAGGGTTATATATTAAGGAAATGTAAAATTTTAACAAGCCTATCCTATCTTCAGTAATATATTCAAAATGGAAAAAATAATTTTAGGCTGAGTGGGCTGAAAATCTAGTCAATGGAAGTTTACCACAGCAAGGAAAAATAAAAGGTGCAGCATAGTGAAAAATAAACTTTTTAAATTTAATTTCATGGTTTAGTTACTTATGACCCTTACAATTAATATCATTAGTGATAATGAACCCGACACAGAGGAGTAAAACATTAAGTAAAATAGTTGAATTAATAATGAAAGTATGGAGAACATCTGCAATTTGACAGTATATAGATTCGGACTATTGAGAAAGAAGTTGAGAGAGAGAGATGAAACTCTAGGCAGGAATACTTGGAAAGGAAAAGGCTTTTCAAGGGCATAAACATATATCATAGTTAAAGATAAATAAAAAAAAATAGCCAGCCAAGTAAGAATGAATTAAATGTAAAATATGATTTATAAGCAGGATCTAGGAATATCACAGACTTCATTAAAAGCCAAGCCATTTTACTGCAAATTAATGGGGGAACCAATTAGAAGACCATTACTAAGTCTCTGCCCTTCATTTTTACCCCATGGCAAAATACCCAGGTTAGATTCTGATTTACACTTCTATTTTTTCCTACTTCCTTTCTTCCAAGTAGCTTCCTATTTCCTACAAATATTTCAACCATGACTTGGAGGAAATTTAATGCTGACAAATAGCCATCTAATAAACATACAACAAACTCGTGATAATTCCTAATCATACCTTTTAGTATAAATTATCAGCAGTATTTTAGATATGGTCATAGACATGGAGAACTTTATCAGAGAATGTCTTCCTTGTGCCGTCAGTGTTATTTTTTGGTATTTAGGGGAAGTAATAGAAAAACTGTCTGAGAGTCCAACTTCACACCCAAAGGAAATTTTGAGTACAAAGTTATTAATTCCTGGGTCTTCTTTAAGGAATGTGTCCAAGTTCAGAGACTGATCCTTCCATCAGCATGACTTCTTCATAGTCACATTATTTCTTAGAGAGTTTGCTTAAATGAATACTAGTTGAGTAAAACAAGTCATACCATGACAAGTCATGACAGATACACTATGAGTGTATAATGGTGAAGAATACAATGCATGCTAATAAAATGTGGTGCTACTGCTTTAGTTTGTGCTTTACCCACTATTGCATTTAGATTATCGGAGCTGATGTCAACAATGTGAAAAAGGCCAACTGGATCTAAATATGATCACGCAGAGAGTTTTGACCTTATGGACACCCTGAAAGAATTGCAGAAGTTCCCAACCCTAAGTCTATACTTCGGACTGTAATTTGAGCATTTTCACCAGAGAGGTTGTACCAATAAATGAATTATCAAATACTCCAATTTTTGCCACTCTGGTAAGTGAAAATGATATTTCATAGTGGTTTTAATTTTTAGTTTTCTTATTAAAATGTTGTTGGTCTTTTTCCTGCCAATTTGCAGGAGTCATTCTATATTAAGAAAACTATTCTTTTGTCTGTGATTTATTAATGTTTTTCTTTATAGCATCTAGGTTTTCCTTATAAGTTAAAAGAACTCTGAAATTCATAGACTTGGGGACATTATTTTTGCTTTTAGGTTTTTGATTCACCTAGAATTTATTCTGGCTTTAGCTATGAGTTATGATTCTACTGCACTTTTTTATCCAGTTATTCCATACCACCTGCTGAATGATCTAGTTTTCACGAAACTCATTATCTCTGTATTATTTTTCTTTATCTGTAAAATGATCAAAAGGAACATAATTTAGCTACTGCAAAGGGTCATTGAGAGGATTAAATGGGGGGGAAAGAATATGGAAAATACTGTAAAACAGTAAATAACCATAATGGAGTACATTATCTCTCTATACATCCTTTATCACTATGGTATGTTGTGTGTACTTAGGACAGTGGTATACTGTGCTTAGAAGGAGGCAACAGAGTAAAAAAAGACAAGTAACTTCTAGAAGGACACACTGATTTTTCTTTAGAGTTCTCACTTCCAGGACACACTTAATGCTTATAGTAGGAAACACCGAAACATTTGGTCATGGAAAATTAAAGTAACAATTTAGGATTTGATGAATGTTACTCCATAGATGGAGAAAAAAATATAAGTAGAATGGTAGAGTATTTAGATCTATAACCTGGAACTCTTGAGTTCAATAACAAAAACAAATCAGTAATTTCTGAATTACAGAGTAGAACAAGTCATGACAGCTCAAATGAGGAATAAGTCAAATGCCTCCTTCCACCATCTGGAAAATTTACTCATGGATGGCTATAGCATGAGCAAGATATAAATATCACAAGTCATACAACTAATTAATGTTAGAAAGTTCTAAATAGAATTCAAGGATTTAACTTTTAACATGGGCAACACAAGGCTGAAAGATTTCTGTACTGGGCCTTTAAAACTGAATTTTTTGCTAAAAGACCCAGAATTTAAGTAGAAGTAACATCTTCCTCATCACATTTGTCAACAGGCATGTGAGATATGACAGATAATATATTCACATATTAAACTACATTTTTTGTGATTCATTTAAAACTGGAAATACACATGCTAAAATAAAAAACCATTTACCGAAAAAACATTTCCTTATTTCCATTGTAATATATGAAATATATCACTCTATATTTTTCAGAACACATCATTAACATACTGAAATTATTGACACAGAAATAATTTGAATCTTAAACAAAACCTATTATAATAGCCAGATAAGGCTTTCTAAGAAAATAAAACTCAGGCTTTAAAAATAAATGGTGAGGGGTGCCTGGGTGGCTTAGTGGGTTAAACCTCTGCCTTCAGCTCAGGTCATGATCTCAGGGTCCAGGGATCGAGCCCCGCATCAGGCTCTCTGCTCAGCAGGGAGCCTGCTTCCCCGTCTCTCTCTGCCTGCCTCTCTGCCTACTTGTGATCTCTCTTTCTCTCTCTCTGTTAAATAAATAAAATCTTTAAAAAAAAAATAGTGAAATATATAAAAAAAGAGGGAATGAATGAAAATATTTAATTTCTTCAGCTTTTTTAAAAAAGTTCATAAGCTAAAATATGACAATGGGAGACCGCTGCTATATTATTTTTAAAGATGAGGAAAAAATGAATAACATATTATCACATTAACATGTGAAATGTATAGTTAATTTCTTTAAAATATTCATTTTTTAAATGACAAAATGACAGAATTATGAATACATACATCAGTTTACTTAATTTTGTTTCAGATGTTGAATAACATACAGGTTGATTTTTAATTGTGTTCATATAAATACAGTATTAATATAGTTATGTGGTTAAAGATGAGCCTCCAAAGTGCTAGGGCCTTAACAATTTCACCAATAAGAAACATATATTGTCAAAGGATATGAATATGATCAAAACAGAAAAATTATAATTCTTTAAGATGCTGCTGCTTACTATCAGACATGGTAATGCTGGAAAGCATGAGGTAGGGCCAAAAATACACAAAATGAATCAAATCTGCTTTAATATGTTTAGGCTTTGTGAGTAGATAGTCATGAAATAGGACTTTCATGACAGATTTCTCCTGTCAATTCTATTACTTGTTTTTATTGATGATACAATATTTTTTGTCATTTCAATACCTAAGTATCTATTAGGCTTTAATGTCTCCAGGATACTCATCTTCTGATGCTTTCTGTTTTGCTGAATATACTGG